TAGTCGTCATGTGCTACCTGGGGTAGTCCGTCACCATGCCCGGAAGTCGAGTTCATCAAAGTTCAAGATTCTATCGTATGTGCTCCTACTGGAGCACGTTTGATTTCAAGTATGGCCCCTTTACCAGATGAATCCGTCATCATCCGGCCTATATACCGGCGTAGAGATAAAAGGGCTTGATTATTTTCACACACACTTATTAAACTTCACAATATTCATTGGATTTTAATCCAGATCAGGTAATTAGAAGAATTTTAGACTTGCACAAACATTAACCTGACTTTTGACCTGGAGAAGCCATGTGTCTCCCATATACGTATTAATAAACAATACGGATCATAACGGGTGCCAGGATGAAGCCAAAAATATGAAACAAATGAATATCCATAAGGATTTGGTGGCATGATACGCATGCGCCATGCGCTATTATAGTAGTCATCAAAGACATGCGTTTCGATGGACAATGACGTTTACTAGCCTTTCAATCAAAGCAGTATGTGTCTGATCGTTTCAAAACTTTTCCTTATGGATAGTCATTTGTCTTCAAAAGTCGGCTTCATGTTTCGCTATGGAAACAGATAGAGATTATCCGTATTGATTATTAATACGTATATGGTGTCTCCTTCCATGGTCAAAAGGCGAATCTCGAATTTCGAACGAAATATGTCGTATGCGACATATGTCGATAGAAATTGTCGCACAACGTGTAAGTGTGGTATTCTCGATTGCTTTCGACTTCAAACTCGCATGAGACAAATTTTGTCGAATAGCATGAGCTGGCAACATCGAATAAGCGATTCTCGAATGTGTTATGTGCCAATGTGTTGTGGTTTCTTTATTGTTATGATGGAGGTTATGTCAATGTTATGTTGAAATAATAATGGCAGTGGAAAGAAAAAAGGTATTGCGCTTCATCTTAGAAGGAAACAATCAACTTGATGAGAGAAAAATCAAATGAGCCACTTTTATCTGGCAAAAAACATGCAGAAGACCCATATCCCTGTACCACAAATGGTTCGAGCACTCAATAGCAGTGCAATGGACTCTCACTAATTCCTTACCTAAATATTTTTATATATTTTATGTCCGATAAAAATCTGAACGCATTCTTATATACGTTCTCTCGTGGCCGTTGACGATTTTCTTGATTTTCCAAATATCCAATTTCTATTAATGAAGCTGCCACTGTCAAAAAAACAAGTGAAGAAATCAGTCAAATATTCAGTCTCGCATTCGACATCAAAATGTCGACTGCTCAAGACCACTCTACAATTTGTCTAACGAAAATTTTCGAATGCGTCATTCGAGAATGAGCACTCACGTTTTTTGTTCGACAATGTAGAAATCTCACATGCGACAAAATGTCTCATCATTGTCTAATCAGATTTTCCTTTATTAAAGAACTGGCTAGAACACAAGTTACTAACTGTAAACCTAGAAAAAACATATTATATGCCATTTAGTTGCAACAGATCGAGCTCTCCACCTTTTAAAAGTCTGACGATAAACACCACAGGACAACAGCACAATATTCTGCCAGAGGAGAAAGTAAAATATTTAAGCGATAGGCGTTATAATAGATACAAATCTCAAATGGGATGCACACCTAAATTATATATGCAACAAATTGAGATCCATCATTCACCAATTTAAGTATTTGAAAAGTATTCTACCATTTTACCAACTCAAAATCTTGTATCATGCTTTGGTGGAAAGCCACCTACGATATAGCATTATATGCTGGGGAGGCGCATTAAAAACACTTCTTCCTACCTTAGAGAATCTGCAAAAAAGGTTTCTTAAAATTATCATGTCCAAAGAGTTCAGATACCCCTCTGACGCACTATTCCACTAGACATACGCCAACTTTTTCATCTTCAAATAAATATAAAATATCACCAAAATAAACGTTTTAACCTACCCAATCATCCATACCCTACAAGGAAAAAATATTATCACGTAGTTCCACAAATGCAGAAAGCTATAGGCCAACGAAGTTATCAATATATAGCACCAAAATTGTACAATACCGTCCCACAACACATACAAAAAATAAGTAATTCACAGTCGTTTAAAAACTGAAACAATTCATCTCGAGTCAACCACGACGAAACATTTCGGATATGATATAAAAAAATAAGATTAATAAATAGGATGATGGCTTACTACCCTCTTGTTTTTATTTAGATATTTTTATTTTTATTCAGATATTTTTGTAACAATAATATTTGTATTGACTTTCCTAATTTTCTTCGTAACACTGTTATTAATATCACTTTCCTTTTATTCTATTACTTATCTGTATTTTTAATGTTGAGTTATTTTATTATTATGCGAAACAAGTGCTCTTACACTTATCGCCTTATGATATTTATACCCGTTACTTTTTAGGTTAAGTTATTTTATCATGCGAAACAAGTGTTTTACACTTATCGCATTGTGATATGTATTCTCTTTAATGTACTTTGATTCTTATATACAGGGTGTTTCAGTTCTTTGTAGCAGGACTTGAACAGCTTGAAGAAGACATTTTTCTGAGATGAAAATCTCATACGAACATATATGCGTGGAAGCTTCGTTTCCGATTTACAGGGTGTCAAAGTTTCAGATTTTTTGCGTACCGTCCCTTTCAATGGAATATAGATTCAGATTGTCCTTTCAATTTGAAAAATTTTTGCCCCCATGTAAATTTTTCGAAAACTGTATGAATCTCGAGATAAATGCAAAAAATAAATTACTTGTAATAAAACCGTTATTTCTCAAACACACTTATTTGACATTTCTCAAACATTTTATTGGAAAATAGAATGACCGAAAGCTTCCATACCAAATGAAATTCAGTTGCAAAATTAGGTTGAATTTTTTGAACACCATTATAATTAAAACTGGGACAAACAAAGAAAAAATGTTTTTATTTCAAAAAAACTTCTCTAACTGGATTGCAAAATCTGAAATTGTATTGTAGAAAATTCTAGGACACCCTGTATAACTGAAACTGGTTAAACTTTCGATATCAGGGACTGTATGACACACGGTCTAGGCGCTATACATCGCTAAAAGTCCATCCTTATCGCTAGACTGTCGCTTCTGACGGTTGAGGTGTAATTTAATCTCGTGAACGGCAGTTCTAATTTTATCAGTACCCTTAGAAGTGGTTCTCATCTCGAAATCCATACAGTTTTCGAAAAACATACATGGGGGCAAAAAGTTTCCAAATTGCAGAGACAAACTGAATCTATGTCCCATTGAAAGCAGAGGCGGCAAGCAAAAAAGTTCTACAGGGTTAAATTGGGTACGACCCCTGAAAGTCTATCACCCTGTAGGTATTCAAAAACGCTCAATAGCCTCAAATATTGAGTTTTTGAAGTGTATCAGGTGTACCAAATCCCAATCAATTTTTCCGAAAATTTTAGGAGAGAATTCAAAAAACATAAAAAAATCTGAAACTTTGACACCCTGTAAATCGGAAACGAAGCTCCCACGCATATATGTTTGTAAGAGATTTTCATCTTGAAAAAATGTCTTCTTCAAGCTGTTAAAGTCCTGCTACAAAAAACTGAAACACCCTGTATATGTATACTATACTTTCTCTACGACTATCGTATTCTACATTGATTACATATAGGTTAGTAATTGATGAATGAAGATGATTCCAAGACACCGTGGATCCCAACTCATTATTCAACGGCACTCGACCAATCACAGATTCAGAATTTTCAGGATCCACAGCAACTGAAAAGGTTAGACTAATGAAAAACCAGCAAATCTACAAAACAAATTTCTCAAGAAGGCTCTGCTTCATTTTACGGGTCACGTCACGGTTTGACTTTCGCGAATGTCAGATTGACTTATAGAGTCTTTTAAGTTTTAACTTTGATATCTGGAGGATATAATGGAGGCTTGCCGTTCCATAGAAATGTACTCTATGAATATTGAAGATATTCAAGATCTTGGATCTCCATGGATGATAACTATTCCTGAGACCAAAACAAAAATTGTAAGGAGGTTCACTGTAACCGGGAAATTTTATCAATTTTGTAAAAAGTACATTGCTATACGAGCAGCAAATGTTGGGGTTTCCAATTTTTTCATGAATTACCAAAAAGGAAAATGTACTCTTTAGAAAATTGGAATTAATAAGTTTGCAGCAATGGGAAAACAAATAGTTACATTTTTGAAGCTACCAAATCCCGAGATGTACACCGGGCATTGCTTTGCTTGTCAATGCAGGTGGAGGTATAACAGCATTGAAAATACATGGTGGCTGGAAGAGCACATCGGTGGCAGAAGGATTTCTAGAAGATTCCATGTTGAATAAAAAAAAACGGCAGATTCGAATTCTTCAATGAATCGAACAATGTTCATCATCATCAAATAACAGTTCCTTCACACAAAAAACATCAGCTAGCAATATGAATAAAAATGTCAGTGTTGATTTAAATGCAACACCAACAGTAAAATTTCACGAATTGTGAGAATATCACTAAAAATTTAGTCACTAAGTACGAGAAACATAATTTACTGACCTAATAATTATTGTGTTGTTTCATCATTGAGTTCGTTGAATATTAAAGATTCCTGTCAATGGTGTCATCAAAATTCATACATCAAGTATATTATTTTCATAAATAATAATTAGACATCTGAGGCGATCCATCTTACAGTAGAGTGAAGGCAATAGGACAGGACAAAATTCTTACAGTCGAGGTGGTGGAGTCGACTGTAAGAATTTTGTCCTGTCCTAATAATAAACAGATTTCATTAAATTTCTGACTATCGTATAGTCGTGGAGAAAGTATAGTCTTCTACTCGCGTATAATAGCTATTATTCTCTCGGATAATTCCGAAACTCGCCTACGGCTCGTTTCGGAATCATATCCTCGGGAATAATAGCTATCATTATACGCTCGTCGAAGAATATACTATTCCTCAATGAATATCTTATTTATTTATTTATTATTTGAGAATAGGGTCCCTGAGTTGCGACAATATTTACTTACGTATTTCGTCGAAATAGAACGGATACTCTCCGGGAATCGAGCAGTTCAGTCTAGCTTTGAGGAAGGTGGTCCATCGGCCGCTGGACTGATGTGGGCCGCCTTTGTCGTGCTTGCACACCCTGGCCACCCTCGAGTAGATGACCTTGCCGCAGTTCATGTACTCGACGGCCGTCTCGCGGAAGAAGAAGTAGATGTAGTCGCCGTACGTCAGAGAGCTTATGAAGTTCGGAGCTGCAAGAAAAATTTAGCTCGGTTGAGGTTTGGTCCGGATGTAGATAATAGTCCAGACAACCAGATGACGAATGATCACCTCACATGACGTTGCAGGGTCGTCTTGTCGGCGTTCATGTTTCCCAGACCATTTCTAAACCATGTACACTTACATTATCATGTGAAGCCGTCAGGTTTGTGAAGTACTTATATATACAGGATGGGCATTTTCAGTGTCGAAAAGTTTTCAGAAAAAATTGTTCTTTCATTAATTTTACACACATATATGATGTATTGAAACCGTCACTTTTATGACGTTGCAGTGACGTATCTATGACGTCTGAAAAACACGTCGGTGTGACGTACTTATTTGGTGAGCTTCGTCATTCAGAACATTTTTCAATAATTTGCTATTTAGATTTTTGTTGGGTGACAAATAATGCATGAATATACGTTACTCAACAAAGTGAAGCTAAATTCACCAACCAACATTTTTTTCATTGCTATTAAACTATTCTTGGTTTGCTTACATCTCGCCGACACAAACTACATAATTTTTTATACAAATACGAAAATACGAGTAACTGATTTTATTCTGGTGGAAATGCGTACTGAGGGATAGCGCTGCTGAATAGACGATTGAATGGACATGACATCGGAGGGACCACCAAGCAGACTAGTACAATACATAATCAATATTATATGTCATCAGAGGTCAGTGGTGATTATCACACCATGTTCGAGAAAACTTTTTTACGTGTCATCACCAAATTCGAACGTCATTTTGAAGTCATTTCGACGTCAGTCCGACGTCACAGTTTAGTGAGTGAATGACGTCAATAAATGTGAGTAATATAACGTCATAAGGCTGACTTATTCACGTAAAAGACGTCACTGAAACGTCATCTGGTTGCCTGGGAGAATGGGAAGTGGGATCACTATGCATAAGGGGGCACCACAAAATGTCTGGGAATTGGTCGTTTTGTGATCATTATCGCAGGCAACATTCGGTTATCTATGTATAACTGTTTTTGAATTGCCCAAAAAAAAACTGTCACATGGGCCTCTCTAGTTATTTAGTTAGTTGGCTATGAATATACTATTTTGATACCTTGTTTATGTATCAATTATAACCGTTAGTGAAATTTCAATTTGTATTGAAATTGAAGGATCTTTAAGGTTTAGGAACCTTCTTATACCTACCTACCAAGAAGAAAAGGGGAAAAGAAAAGAATGGAAGGAGCCTGGAATAGATGACCTTGCCGCACATCATGTACTCGACGGCCGTCTTTTTTTATCGCTCGGAGCGCACGAAAGAAAGTCCCTATATCGAAAAAAAAGTTGAAGATTTTTTTTTGTTTTTTGTTTCTAGTGGAGTCCTATTATAGTAACATAAGCAGATAGTGAATTGTTCCTTCACGAAATTGGCTATGTAAAAATTAGCTAATTGAGAATATGTCAAAATAATAGTGATTCTAGGGAACAAATCGATGACGTCATTACTTCAATTTCCAGATATAGAAAAATATGTAAATTTTGATTGATATGGACTCAATCCCATTCAAGAACATCTTTTCAGATTTTGTGTCCATATTTTTTGCTTTTCTGAAAATAGAGCTGAGACGTCGGCTCACATTATCATTTTCTGAGATTAGAAGAAAAAATGGTTAGCTTTTTGGAATTTCATGGACACTATTTGGGAGAACCTCAAAATTTCGATTTTAGGAGCGAAACTTATTTTTATATTAGTCGAAATGTCTTCGACAGACGTCGGAAATAGAACTTGTCGAAAAATTAAAAACTCAAAGTGAAAAATTTGAAATATCTTGCGACATCATAAAAAAAAAGGTTTAAGGGGGGTACCATTTTTGTCCGAGAAACTTAGACAGAGTAGCAAAATCGATATTCCAAGGATTCTTTTCATGAGGTTCAAAAATAAAAATTGTCGCAAAGGCGAAGAGATTCAAAAATGCTAAGAGATATCAATTTGTCAATATCTTTAATATCTCAAAAGATAATTGATATAGCGATTTCAAATGAAAAATATCGGATTTTCGAGATTTCCTAGGAACCACCCGAGCGAATATAAAAATTGCAACTATGGAAAATCAAAATCACGACCCCAGAAATACCCAGTTTTTTCTGAGCTGTTCAAAATCATCCGATTAAAACAATACAAAACTAAAAAAAAGTGATAAAAATAATTACCATTAAGTTGTCTGAGATCCGATAGTTCTGTGCGAAGCGGCTCTCGATAGATCAGGGAATCGGTTCCTGAAAAATCGGCCACCGTCGCTGAAAATAAATGACCGCTACTGTATACAGCGGTGCTGTTATGCTCCGGATCGTAAGGGCACAAGCCAGTGCCCTCCATTTCCTTTTCGACGATCATCTTGTCATTCTAAAACGGAAATTCATGGTCTAATTGGAGAATTGGGACTTTTGCACTTTTACAATTGCTGTTGTTTTTCGATTTTTCTCATATATAATACCACAAGTGATAATATTTTGCCGGAAATATTCGGTGATTGTTACGACAGCTTGTTGCCTAGTAATTTCGTGAATGACATTGTTATCAAAACTACGAGTAGTTTTGGATCAATGTCATGAGCGAAATTAGAGCAGCAAGCTGGAGTATGTCAATCGACGAATATTTCCAGGAAAAATTGTATCACGATTTGTATTCGTATGACTACTTCATGATTGAATGAGACAATATATACAGGGTGAGTCATTAGTGTGGCAAAGTGAGATAACGGCTTTAGAGTTTGAGATAGATGGACAAAAGTTCCAGAGATGATCTAGGATCATGAGCAGCACATTTCCAAATTATTTTGCTTTATACAGGGTGACTCAGAAATGCGTGGCGTATCAAAGTTATACTTTTTCTTATGGGACACCCTGTATTTCATTGCATTTTCGCATTCTCCTTTTTGAGCTGATTTCATCAATGCATCACACTTGGGGTCTAGCGAGAATGATTACAGAGATATAGGGTGTTCAAAATCGAGATTTTTCAACTTTAGGATTTTTTTTGCGTCGAAACTATTCATTATTGGTCAAAACGGCTTTCATGTCCCTATCCCAACTTTTGATTTACTATCTACTGATATTTAATTGGAACAGATACAAGGGTGATCAGAATGCTGAATCTTGAACCACCCTGTATTTGTTCCAATTAAATGTCAGTAGATAGTAAATCAAAAGTTGGGATAGGGACATGAAAGCCGTTTTGACAAATAATGAATAGTTTCGACGCTAAAGAATCCTAAAATTGGAAAATCTTGATTTTGAATACCCTTTATTTCTGTAATCATTCTCGCTAGACCCCAAATGTGATGCAATGATGAAATCAGCTCACAAGAGAATGCGAAAATACAATGAAATACAGGGTTTCCCATAAGAAAAAGTATAACTTTAATACGCCACGCATTTATGAGTTACCCTGTATAGAGCGAAATAATTTGGATATGTGCTGCTCATGATCCTAGATCATCTCTGAAATTTGTATTCATCTATCTCAAATAGTAAAGCAGTTATCTCACTTTGCCACACTAATGACTCACCCTGTATAAGAAATAGGAAACATAATTTAAGTATATTCCAACTCGAATTGCGAAGAAGAACATAATGATAGTAATGAAATACAGAATTTACTTTTTTAGAAATTAACTACCTACTTATAGTTATTCACAAAGTGGAATGTACAATTTTGATAAACAGTATTTTTTTATTATCTTGGAGCTGGTTGCTCTCAGAAGAGTGTATACAATTGCTATCCAATTCAAACAAACAAAAAATGAATTTATGTGACATGGAATAATTAAAAAAAAAGATATCGTCGCCGAGGGCTCGAACCATCGACCTTAAAAAGGAATTTGAATTCTAGTATTGTTGTGTCAGACCGTCAACAAATATGCAAACTTTTTAAATTACACATGAAACATCCAGCCAGAATAAAATTGTCTCGCCTTTCGTACAAAATATCTCACTAACGCGAATTATAAGTAAATAAAATAAAGTAGGAACTTAGGTTATTGTCTCAGATTTGAATCCAAAGCAATCTTGACCAGACACGATGTCAAAATTTTATCGCTGATAAACGAGGTTTGTTGGTCACGTGTGGGTCAATTCGGCTTCTGTATTGGTAGAGCAAGTTCGATAAAATTTAATAAACAAAAAATATCGCTCGAATACAGAAGAAACCGTGAAAATGGTCGATTCTGATTGGTTCTCGAGATCAAGAGTGGAATAGTAAAAAAAAAACTATTCATCCAGATATTTCATCGAACATTTCAGAGTCAAATTTTTTTCCCGAAGGCGGGAATTTTTCGAGTTACGTGTTTAGTAGGAATATCAACTTTTCTAACAACTTTCAAGATATTTCAAAAGTTTTAAGGGTAGATTCTTCATAAAAAGAAATAATTTATATTAACTATAGACAAAAATGGTTCAAGTGATTACGTATTTAGTAGGAATATCAAGTTTCCCAACACACTCTATATAACAGAGCCTAATATTTTCCAGATATAGGTTTCATCAAACTTTTCTTTCAGATTCGGAACAAACAATTGAGCAGATAAGTGAAAAAATTATTTATTGTTAGTTTTTAAGCTAAAATTCACTTGGTAACAAAGCGATTCACGAAAAAACTTCAACAAAATTCAAAAGTAGTACTGAAAAAAAACATTTTGCTGGAAAAAAATCAGTGACAATCAATTTTTTTATAATATTGCCAGTTTAGATCACATCAGAAAATAATTTTAAAAAAAAATGCTATTCATCAAGATACTTAATCGAACTTTTCAAAGTTTTGAGGGTAGATGCTTCGAAAATCGTTTTTCTACAAACTATATCTACAGAAATGTTTCCAGTTACAACTTGTTTAGTAGAAATATCAATTTTTCTAACGCACCCTGTATAACAGAGCTAGGAAAGTCTATTATTTATTAGAAAAAGGTTTCATCAAACTTTTCTTTTAGATTGGAAATTATCCTTTGAGCAACGAAGTTAACAAAATGCTTCATTATTTCAACTTTATATTTACTTAGTAACAAACAGAGCGACTCAATAAAAAAATCAAGCTATTCAAAAAAGTACTTTATAAAAGCAGTAACTGACACTTTTTTATGATATTAGCTCAGTTGCTCTATTGGACGACATTGGAATGGTCAAACAAATTCTGCTAACATCAGAATAAGAAGTCTTTTGTTATTGTAAACAGGTCAACCAATTGTTTTTTAACAATCAAAACAGATTTTTGTAAAAATTTGAAAGCCTGTATCTCGAAAGTTCATGAAGACATCATGCAACACAGACAGCACTTGATATTCCTAGAATATTCTCTAGGTATGCTTAAAAATAGGAATATATTCTGAATATTCAGCGAATATTCCTAGAATATATACATGCCTCTGGTACATCCAAGGAATATTCCAATGTGAATATTCTATTAATATTCCAAGACACAATGCAAGGAATATTCCAGCAGGAATATTCTAGTTGGATTGTTCAGGGAATATTCATGTAAGTATGAATGTTCTAGGAATTATCCCAACCGAATATTCTGTGTTGCATATTTATGAAATATTCTCAGCTGAATATTCTGTGTTGTATATTCATGAAATATTCTCAACTGAATATTCTTTGTTGTATATTCATGAAATATTCCATGAATATTCCCATTTTTTACCATAAAATGGTATAGCATGAACACCGATAATCATTTTAGAGATGTGAGTATCAAACATTTATTATGTGTAACGAGATTTTGAAGAGAAACGTGTTTATGATCCGATTCTGAACAACATTCTTTCGAAAAATTGTTATGTTCAATATTTTTCATGTTAATTGGAACATTCCAGGAACACTCAAGGAATATTCCTACAATGTATTCTAGAGACTTTTGAGTATGAATATCTGAGGAATTCCCAATTGCATATTCAGAGAATATTCCACAGATATTCTGGAATATTCGAGATTATTCCTAGAATATTCTAATATTCGAAAAGGAATATTATAGGGAGATTCATGGAATATCTGGTGTTGTCGGGGAAGTAATCTACCCTCGAATTTGTTTGCCATAATAATGATGTGCATCAAAACAGTGACAAAAGTCCGGTACGGAAAAAAAAACATTGCAAGTCAAGTCGTTACCACCGATACAACAAGGCCAGCAGACTCTGACGTAAACAGCTCGTGACATCACCAAGAGAGGCCAGTGTTTTATTTTATCGCTTGTCGACTAACGCGTCAGTTCGTGTTAATTCATCGGTGATTCACGTATGTTTTTGAAACGGTCCCGAATTCTTTTGTTGTTTATTCATCAAAATAATTGGCGGAAAAATTACTGTTTTGTGAAATATTTTGTGTTTGTCGGGAGAATTATGTGGGTGGTTCAAAAGTTCATGCTTTTAGTTTCCCGTTGGACGAGGAGCTATCGAAAATGTGGGTATATGCAATTCACCGCGAGGATTTTACTCCATCTAAGTTCAGTAGTAAACAGAGCTTAATTTATAATGATGAATTAATAATAGAAGACAATTACTCTCTCATAAAAAGTATAAGTAGAGGAAGTGCAGTTAGTTTTGTATTCGTATATTATAGTCAACAAAATCATCTCTGAATTCGAGGAAATTTTCTTGAATGTTCATAATAAACGGGCATTTTTGATTCTCATTCTCAAATTTCTTTCTGAAAATGGTCATTTGCCTCGTGGCAATGAATGCAGAGTTCATTCCAATGATCAAATTGCAACTATCATATTAACATGAACTACAAACACTCTACTTAAAAAGGTAAAACTGCATTTATCATGATATTTATCATGAAGCACATGGTAATACATTACAAAAAACTATGAGAACACTGCAACAATTGACAACCAGCACCACGCAATGGATGCAAAAATGGCGAATTATACCAAATCCAACCAAATCCCAATTGATGATATTCCATCATAGGATCAAGAACACTTCTCCAGAAATAACCTTGCAGAATCAACAGCTACAAACAGTACCAACCTGCAAATATCTTGGCATGACTATAGACAGCAAATTGAACTTTAAAGCCCATACGAAAAGAACAAAAAAGGAAGCAATGAAAAGATCAAAACATTTCAGAGCCTTGACATACCAAAATCAAGGAATAAATACAGCTACAGCTTGCAAAATATATAAAATGATCTGCCGACCTGTTCTGGAATACGGACATGTTATTCTGAATAACTGCAGGAAACCAACTCAGCGGAACTTGGAAGTGGCGGAGAGAAGCTGTCTAAGAACTATTACCAAAATAAGGCACCCTGCAAATCCTCTTCACAACCCTTCCAACATTCTCCTATACCAAAAAACTAAAATAGAACCTATCCTCACCCGAATTACCAGACTGACCAAAAAATTTGCGAACAAACAAGAAAACATCACCCTTATAGAGCCCCTCATTCACCAAACCAATCCCCTTACTCCCATTAAACGCAAATTTCCTGAATTCAGCCTATATGATTCACTCTCCAGACAAATTACCAACAGATAGAATAATAATGTTTTTTTTTTTTTTCATAATTCACCTTGTAAAAATCACTGTTTAAATAATGCATTTGAAATACATAAAATGATTTAGTATATACTGGCAGGAAGACTTTGGTCGTTAGCCATTTGGCATAATGTATTTTTTATTTTATGTCCAATAAAGTTTATTTTCTTCTTCTTCTTCTTCTTCTTCTATCATGAAGATATTTGACTAAAAAGTTCCAAATTTCACCTTCTTTTTCACCTGTCTTCTGGATGGCATTTAGAACAAATGTTCCTTCTTTTTTCATCATATTGGACAATTTATATATAATTCAACTATAAATATGATTTTCTTGAGATTAATCCATATTTAGTGAAAAGAAGGAAGAATATCATTCAAAATAATGGCGTGTGTAATGTCATTCGAAAGCAATCTATTGACATTTGACATCTCGTATTTTGATTGACTATTGATTAAATGGTCGTCATCTGGAATGCTTGTTCACTAAATATGAAAAACTCGCCATAAAAATCATATTTCCTGTTGAATTTTCTATATAAAAATGTGCCATCGAAGTACATCATGAGTATATAAAGTGTCCAATGACAAAATAAGAGCAAGTAGCTTCAAATGCCCCCAACACAAGGGGAGAAAGAAGGCGAAATTTCGAACTTTTTCTTGAAATATCTGAATAAATAGTGGTTTGTTCACATTTTCATTATAAAATTCGGTTTATCAGACAAAAATACGTGAGTACCGAAAAAAAATGTTCAAAAAAAAAATCCATCGCATGATAAATGCAGTTTTACCCTTAAAAATTACGGTTTCAAGTGTAACGATCCACTTGTGTGAAAAATCCAACAACAGAAAATTGAAAACACTCACTGGTTATTTTTTCAGGTAATAGGAATTCTCCAAGATAAAGGTAATTGTAACAAACGGCATGTCAATCAAAATAAAATACATTTTCCACAATTTTCTTTCGATCAATCTCACGATAAGTGTATGTTCTGAGGGCCCTGTATAAGTAGGTGTGAAGTTTACCTTCACCACAATTTTTGCCAATATATTTAATTCGAATGGGTTGCTGTAGGTGGATATTTGTGTTATATCCTGGTTTTTACTTTAAAACTTCGTTTTTCCATAATAAAATCGAATGGGGTGCGAAGAAGGGCTCAGTTGACGACTGGCATCCTTTTTAACCGGAAGCCCTTCAAAAAACAGCAAAATCGGCTCAATGATGATCTGAAACTAAAATCGAAATACGCGGTCGCCTTATAGCGCTATAAGCGCTTGTCGTTTCGAGCCGCTGGTTAGGCCTCACTAAGTGACGTCACCCACGGAGCATGCAGGCCTTGTTGTATCGGTGGTAACGGTCAAGTGCAGAATAAAGAATGACTTACTTGTCGCCTTAAAATCCTGCAAAGCGGTTTGTAAGAGTTGGTGCCACAAATCAGAAATTTTCCAGGCGTAGTCTGGAACAATATTCTTATGTAATTTTGGCAGTCCTCTTCGGCCTTGCCTTTGAGATTGCACAGCTGAGAATGCGCCTCGGACGAGGCCCAATAAATGGAAGAGTCCTTTCTCTCGTTGAAATCGAACACCGACAAATTGTAAACCTTCTCTCTGCCACCCAATAAAATGGAGTTGTCGTCTTGATACAAGACAGTGAAATGGTCAGGTAATGATGCATTACTCTTGAAACTAATACTAGGGATTCGATTAATACTATTTACAAGTTTTGAGCTCAAATCAGGCAACCACCCATAGCCAGTCCTCGTCAGGCATAATATTACTAGAAGGTTAGCGAAGATTTCTGGAAGGCACGATAAGGCACTCGGCATGTTGAATGGTTTTTGTTCGGTTACTGGTCCATGTTGATTTCGACTTCTGTCATTCTGCTCCTGCAATAAAAATAACACAGACTAGGGACATGTTCACAATAACCCAGATAAGTCGTGGAAACCATCCATCCTTCTCAAAGTGGTCCAATATTTTTTCAAAGAAAAAACAAAATAACACCAAGTCGGTCGACCACAAAAATTATACAGGGTGATTCATTGGGAAATGCGCATACAGTAGGGGTAGACAATAAACTTAATATAAACACCTGGAAAGGAGACGACCGGTTCCTCGAATAATAATAATAAATAATAATAATAAATGAATTTATTTGCAACAACAACAAGGGTAAGTACATTTGTGTGAAACATGCGATATTATTGCAAATGCTTTTCCATGTAGGTTCTTCAAGAACCTGTCTATGGATTGGCGAAGATTCACATATACTGTAATTAAAATTGGTACACAGGAAAAATTGGTATATATATAATTAACTAACCTATACTATCTCACATCTTTTTTTTTATCGCTTGGAGCCCACGAAAGGGAATCCCTATAATGTTCAAAGAACATCGTGCGTTCCTAGGAGGATAGGGACAGGAGGTAGGTATTGGATTTTTTTTTGAACTTTTGGAGATTATATGTTGTTGGGAATACTTCCACAGGCAATGAATTCCAGAGCCTAGCCGTTCTATGGATGAAGGAGTCTTGATAAAGTGCTGCTCGACATCTTTCGAGGTTGACAACGATAGGATGTGCTGACTGGGCTTGTCTAGTTCGTCTGATTGGTGTTGCTAGTGAAGGGGTGGTAGCAGAGATTTCCGAAGAACATTTCCCGTGGAAGTATCGATAGAAAAGTGAAAGGTCGCCGACCTTTCAACGGTGTTCCAATGATGTCAAAGAGTGAGTGAGTGTGGCGTCACCCACCAGGCGAATGGCTCTTCTCTGGATGGAATCTAAGAGCATCAGCGTATGTTTTGGCGCAGAACCCCATATGTGGGAACAGTATTCTAGAACAGGCCGTATCTGCGCTTTGTAGATCATGAGAAGCTGTTGAGGTGTAAAGTTGCTTTTCGCACGGAACAAGAATCCGAGTTTTTGTGAAGCAGCTTTTGCGATGGATCTGACATGATTATCCCATGAAAGAGTGTTGCTGATGGAAATACCGAGCATAGATATGGTGGGCTTGGTGGGGATGGTGGAGCCAGATATTACAATATCGGGCATACTGAGTTCCGCCTTTCTAGAGAAAATGCAGGCTTGAGTTTTGGTGGCGTTGAATTCAACTAGGTTGTTTGTTCCCCAGGCTGTGATTTCAGCAAGATCTTCATTGACAGCATTGACCTGCCTGCGCCGTGAGTTCTTAGTTTCCTGGGAAGAAATGGGAATTCTGGAAGAGAACGCAGTATGGAGGGTACTATCATCTGCAAAGTTGTGGATGGGGCAAGTTGTTACTCCCAACAGATCATTGATATGAAGCAGGAATAATGTTGGTGCCAAAATTGATCCTTGTGGAACGCCGGAATTGATGCCGATGGTATCAGACGATACACCGTCCACCACCACGTGAAGCGATCTGCCTGAAAGAAAACTCGATAAGAGATGGCATAGCTGAGGTGGTAAGCCGTATGATGGTAGTTTGTGGAGGAGTCCTTCGTGCCAAACACGGTCGAATGCTTTCGATATGTCCAACGCGACAGCTAGAGATTCCCCGTGTTTTTCTATTGAAGATTGCCATAGATGGGTGACGTAGGCAAGTAGATCTCCAGTAGATCTTCGGTGGCGAAAGCCGTATTGTCTATCATTGATGATTCCTGAGCTCTCCAGATATTTGATAAGCTCAATATTGATGGCTTTCTCCATCACTTTGGAAATTACTGATAACAGGGCAATGGGCCTAGTTGTTGGGCAGGTTCTTGTTCCCTTTTTTGGGGATTGGTTGGACTCTAGCTGTCTTCCAGCATGATGGAAAAATACCCGACCTGTACGAGATGGTGAACAACTTGCAGAGAATCGGTGCTAATTCTGGTGCACATTTTTTGAGGATAATGGGTGGAATTCCATAAGGACCGTTAACCTTATTCGTTTTCTAATAAAATCAAGAATGAAATTATCCGTGATATGCACCTACATGATACATTTTTTCCTATTCCATTATAATTCAAAAATGATCGATTATTTGATGGAAAAAAAGCCTTCCCAGATCTAGCACAAAGTGTCTCAGGGGCAGCTGCAACAAAGAAAGCTTCTGTTATGGTAACCTGTCTCTTTCACACTCGTATTGTTTAATGGCGGATTGGTGTATAAATTGTCTTTTATCCAATGATTGGAGTACTTGAGACCTTTTTTTTTTTTCATCTAAACATTCAAAAAAGTGATGATAGAACTTCATTGTTTTTTGTTATGTGAAATATCGCAAAATTTGTCGCGTTGTTGGCGTGTTTTGTTTCTTCAAAAGGACTGACTTTGTTGGTGTGAATTGATTATTGATGAAAAGATTTGTGAATTGGAATTAATAAACAATGGTTACCTATATTGTGTTGCCTTTGGATGCAAAATAAGCAAGGCAAACAGAAATTGTCCTCCATGGGTGAGTTGAAAATTGTTCAGATTCTTAGAAAAACTATAGTAATTTATTTTCAGGATGTGTCTGTGGATGTTCATAACTTGGATTCTGGGGACAATGTGTTTATATGGACATTGATTTGCTTACAACTTCCAGCTCTCATATAAATTTCAAAGTTTATTGATAATGAAACCCATAAACTGTTTCATTCGAGAAGGTCTATACTATATATTGCAAAGAAAAGTGAAAACACTGAAACAAAAAGTGAAAAGGAGAATGACAATCTTGATGAGGTACTAAAAAAAACATTTTGAAGGTAAAAACTACAAGTTCAAATTTTTAAACTCAAGAGCTACATCATAATATTGTCTTTTCAGATTTGCCTTTGGAGCTTCTCCTTCTCCAGAAAGGAAAAAATAAAGGTGTACATTCTGGGCGACGCAGATATTCATCTTTAATGAAAAAAATCACCCCAATAAACTTAGCAGAACCATTTCAATATTTCAGATTCGCAATAGTCCTATAATTTGTTACTAATTTAGTACTAATTCATTACCATATTCGCGAATTTATTACCCTTCATTAAACAGAAAAAACCAACGGCTCTGCTAGCTTTATGTCAACCTAGCAGAACCATAGCTAAAAATTTGATATTTTGAAAATTTTAAATATACCATAATTTATAACTATTTTATTACTAACTTATAACTATAATCACGAATTCTTTACCCATCATTTCAAGGAAAAAATCGACGATTTGTCTATCTCGATCTCAACCTAGCAGAACCAAAACTCAAATCACATGTTTTTTGAAATTCTGTTGTATCATCGATAAGTTACTGATTTATTACTAATTTATTACCACATTCGCAAATTTCTAACACTTCATTCAACAGGGAAAACCAACGGCTCTGCTAGCTTGCTGTCAAACTAGCAGAGCCATAGCTAAACAATTATTATTTTGAAAACTTCATATATACCATGATTTATTACTATTTTATTAGTAATTTATAACTATAATCACGAATTTTTTATTTAATTCAATTTGAACATGTGATTTGAATTTTGGTTCTGCTAGGTTGAGATCAAGATAGTCAATTCGTCGTTTTTTTCCTTGAAATGATGAGTAAAAAATTCGTGATTATAGTTATAAATTACTAATAAAATAGTAATAAATTATGGTATATTTGAAGTTTTCAAAATAATAATTTTTTAGCTATGGCTCTGCTAGTTTGACAGTAAGCTAGCAGAGCCGTTGGTTTTCCCTGTTGAATGAAGTGTTAGGAATTTGCGAATGTGGTGATAAATTAGTAATAAATTAGTAACTTATCGATGATACAACAGAATTTCAAAAAGCATGTGATTTGAGTTTTGGTTTTGCTAGGTTGAGTTCGAGATAGACAAATCGTCGTTTTTTTCCTTGAAATGATGAGTAAACAATTCGTGATTATAGTTATAAGTTAGTAATAAAATAGTAATAAATTATGGTATATTTGAAGTTTTCAAAATAATGATTGTTTAGCTATGGCTCTGCTAGGTTGACAGCAAGCTAGCAGAGCCGTTGGTTTTCCCTGTTGAATGAAGTGTTAGAAATCTGCGAATGTGGTAATAAATTAGTAACTTATCGATGATACAACAGAATTTCAAAAAACATGTGATTTGAGTTTTGGTTCTGCTAGGTTGAGATCGAGATAGACAAATCGTCGATTTTTTCCTTGAAATGATGGGTAAAGAATTCGTGATTATAGTTATAAGTTAGTAATAAAATAGTTATAAATTATGGTATATTTAAAATTTTCAAAATATCAAATTTTTAGCTATGGTTCTGCTAGGTTGACATAAAGCTAGCAGAGCCGTTGGTTTTTTCTGTTTAATGAAGGGTAATAAATTTGCGAATATGGTAATAAATTAGTACTAAATTAGTAACAAATTATAGTACTATTGCAAATCCGAAATATTGAAGTGGTTCTGCTAAGTTTATATAATAAATTATTATAAATAGGTACTCTTGAAAATTAGGCTTAAAATAGACCTTGGGTACTTGATACCATTCAAGAGCCTCTAAATTTTTTTCTATCGTTTTTCTATTTCTTCTGATAGTGCTGAGACATTGAGCTTCGCTCACCCTGCACAATATATTGTACCATTTGAATGAGAATATATATTATTTCAATTTTGTATTCATTTGCCTTCCTAATCCTGTAGGAATAACAATGGAATTTCACTCTTTAGTGATCTCCCCCATTTCTTCAATTAATCATAACTTATGAACCACCCTATATGATTTTTTGATATTTGCTTTGTATGTTCCTTGTCCACAGAGGTGACGATTGACATGAAGAATAAGAGTTTTATTCCAGGACCAGTCTCGAAAAAATTAATGAGTAGGTTTCGAGTCGAAACAATACCCTATATATCAATATTTTAAAATATCACAAATTTGGAAAGAGCAGACAAAAATTAGTTTGACTGAGATTAATAATTTTGATGTTTCCA